GCTTTGTGCTAATTGCTTTACCTGCGTGATCTCAACTCATTCTCACCAGAGTCCTCCGAGGGAAGTACGATAGCTTTCACTTTATGAATGAAGATACTGAGCCTTTAGTGTCTTCCCCGGCTTCTCGGAGTCAGTAGGGCAAAGGGTCCCAGGGCAGAACAGACCCTTGGGGCTCTTTCTGCCAAGCCCCTTCTGAGCAGTGGGCTGTGGGAGTGGGTTCTCTTCTAAAACAATCTCTCTTCCTTAACTGGCCCTTTGAAGTTTGTACTCCCCATTAAGGACGGTTTCTCTATATGAGGGTGTTCTGAATTTCAAATGCAGACACAGGCAATGGTCCTGAGCAATGAGCTTTCTGCAAAACCCCAAGATTTATGTGAATCATGTTTAACAGGGAGAGTGCCCCTGAGTCAGGGACGAGGCAGGGCTGGGATGCTTGCCGGACAGAGAATGAACTAAAGCTAGCATGGATCTCACGTAACTCTAGGAAAGGCAGAAGTCAAATGCAGCCAGACCAGAGTCAGCAAAGATGGGCAGACCAGGCAAGGGCATATTTAGAGGAAGTCATTTCAGGCAGGCATCAGGAACGTGGCTGGGGAAACTGGGTGGGGAGCAAGACAGCTGCATTCATTTATTCATTCAACTTTCATTGACCTCAGGAGAGGGCCAGGCGTCCCGGCAATAGTGACTCACATGTGAATGTGAACAAATGCTTGGCCAAAGTCAAAAACATTTGGTGTTTGATAAGTGTCAGCCATAACTTTCAGGGCTGCAACTCCCTCATCACTCCTTGTCCCATATCCCAGCTGTCCTGACTTCTGTGTGGTTGGAAACAATAGATATGCATGCAGACTGTTTCAGACAAAAGGAGGGTGTATTGGCTCCTAAAACTGTGGGAAGAGCTGGTGTGTAGCTGGGCCTCAAGGGTAACTGCACCAGGCCAGACTCTTTTCCGGCCATCTTTCATCTCATCTCCATCTGTTCTTCTGACTGTCCATTACAGTGTCCCCAGACGGGCTCCTCCATGATGAATAGAAACCAGGCTATCAGGGGTGCCCAAGGCCACACTAAGTCTCTCCGAGAGGAACTGAAGTTCCTGCACAGAGAACTCTGACTGGCCCAGTGTTGGTAAGGTGCCAGCTCTGACAGGCCCAGTGAGTTAGGTGTACACTCTCAGACCAACAGAAAGGTCTTGTAAGACAAGATGGCAACTCCCACTTGAACTTCGTAGGGGAATGGGGACAGGCCAGTCTGGTGACATCCATTCTTCTCCATCAGTTGGACGTGAATGCCTGTGATCTTGAGAACCATGATGATGACTAATGGATTAAGTGATTAACTGAACCCCTCCTAACACGTCTGTGTGAATTATGCAAGAACAGAAAATTCTGTGGGGAAAATACACAAGGAGATAATGACCAAACAATTTCCAAATTTGATGACTACAAGAGGAGCCACATCCTGCATAATCACATAGAAAAAGGGAGTGCCAGAGCACCTAGGTGGCTCAGTGGTTGAACATCTGCCTTTGGTTCAGGTCGTGATTCCAGGGTCCTGGGATCCCTCCAGCATCACGCTCCCTGCAGGGAGCCTGCTTCTCCCTCTGCCTATGTCTCTGCCTCTCTCTCTCTGTGTGTGTCTCTCATGAATAAATAAATAAAATCTAAAAAAAGGGTGGGAGGAGTGCCATAGGTAAGGAACAGCCTCAGGTGATGAGAAATACAAACATAGTGGCTCGAACAAGATGGCTGCTTGCTTCTCTCATCTAACAGACCAAGGGCAGACCGAAGTCCTGGGCATATGGACCATTCTGCTCTGCTGTGTTCCACAGGCTTGTTCAGGACATCAGATTCCTTCTGTCTTGATATCCTGCCATCCCCCTAGAGTGGTGTCCACATCCATGTGTTCAAAACTACCACACGTCATCACATCCATGTTCAAGCCCCTGGGAAAGGGAAAGATGAAGTGGGGAACAAGCCATGGCCGGATCGAAATGTCATCTGGAAATTGAACCCGTCATGTCCACTCATATCTTATTGGCTAAAACTACAAGACTACACAAAATTTTGAGGGAGTCTGGGATGTGGTCTCTCGGCTGGGTAGTCACATGCCCCACTCAACTCAGGTGGCTTCTTCTGTTGGGACAGTGAACCCTGAGAACAGTTAGTGTTTGTCACAGGACTGCCTGTGGCCTTTAAGTATCTGGGTACAACCTTCTTTCCTTTTTTTTTTTTTTTTACATCCTTCTTTCCACACATAGGACCCACTTACCACCTTCCTAAGGGAGGCAACCCGAAGTCCCACCCAGCCACTGCATGCAGCTCTGAGAGCAGGGTTTTGGGGCACCTCAGTCTCCTTCCTGAAGTGCAGATGTGGTCCTGCTGGCCGAGTGGCCTGAAAACTAGAAACTAATCACCCACACCCCAGCTCATACTCACTCCCCCCAGTAGTCAGTGTGGAGCAGGAGCAGTTGAAAGAGTAGGAAAGAATAACCATCATCAACTCTCTCAATAGGAAAAGGGAAGAACAAGGAAACACACAGTGGCCACCAATCCGTGCAGTTATCAGTCCTGCTGGGCAAGACGTGTGAAGACTCCTTGCCCTGGCACACACTCTGTCTTCCCTTTCTGCTCTGGGGGTAACCCCCTGTCTGCTGTACACGGGGGCCCCAGCCTTTGTCTTCTAGGAGCTTTTTCCTTGACTATCCTAACCTTAGCTATACATCTGATGTGGGTTTTAGGGAGGATGCCCTTCTTGGGGGTACATATCTCTCAATTCACTTCTGATGATAGGGTTTTGGGGACCCAGGGGCTCCTTTCAGTAGTAAACAGTCACAGGATTTTTACAGGCTGGACTTTTGGCTTCTCTAGCTAGACGATTCTATGAAAAACATAGAAACCTTCTGGTCTATTTGCTTCCAGTCATTTCTGTACAGGAGTACCATACCCAGAGGTCCTTTCTGGGCATGGTTCTTTAGCCTGCCAACTCCCTTTTTTACTAACTGGCTTCCCTGCCTGGGCCATCACTGTTGTGTCATTTGGTTTTTTTTGTTTTTTAAATCTTTATTATTATTATTATTTATTTATTCATGATAGAGAGAGAGAGAGAGGCAAAAAGAGAAGCAGGCTCCATGCCGGGAGCCCGACATGGGACTCGATCCCGGGACTCCAGGATTGCGCCCTGGGCCAAAGGCAGGCGCGAAACCGCTGAGCCACCCAAGGATCCCCTGTTGTGTCATTTTGATGGTGGCTACCTTGAGGCCCCAGAACAATAGACTGAGTGAGAAGGTGTCACCCTTCATCAGATCTTTGCTACGGGGCTGAATCCCAGGGCCAGGTAGAAAATCCTCATGGTAGGTAGCACAATCTGCTTTCCAGGTTATTGCAGGGTGGGGCTTTACCAAATAATCTGCCACAGAGTAACACGGGCCACCAGTTTGCCCCCGGGCCATGTCTGTATTTTCTCATTCATGTTGCCCAACTGCTAAGACAAGGCCATGTGCTTTAGGAGTTTTTTGTCAAAGCTGTATCTCTCAGTCCCAATTTCTCTATTAGTTAGGTCTAGGTTAAGCTACTATAACAAAAAATCCCAAAATACAATGACTCCAGCATGAATTGTTTATTCTCACATAACAACTCAGAGTAGGCAGTTGTGCCCAGGGAAATAGATAACTCAGCTCTGCTCCATGAGTTGGACCAGGGTCCCAAGTGCCTTCTATCTTGTTGCTTCTCCATCCCTATGACCATAAACCATAAGGTGGTCAGAGCTGTCCCACCTCCTGTAGAGCATAAAAGAAAGAGAGTAAAAAGCAATCAATCTTTTTACCAAAAATGTGATCCAGAAGTTTCCTACCTCATTTTGGGCCACATTCCACTTAGTCACCTGGCCGTACTTTGCTGCAGGGGAATCTAGGAAATACGGTCTCTGGCTGAGCAGTTCTGTGTGAAGCGTGAAGGGGAATAGGGGCCACTTTTAAGACCTAAAGGAAGAAGACGAGGGGCGCCTGGGTGTCTCAGTCTGCCTTCAGCTCAGGTCATGATCTTGGGGCCCTGGGGTGGAGCCCCTCCCTGCTCAGCAGGGACCTTGCTTCTCCCTCTGCCCCTCCCCCCACTTGTGCATGTGCACTCTCTCACTCTCAAATAAATAAAATCTTAAGAAAAAACAGAAAGGAGAAAATAAATCCTGGGGAATAATTGATGTTTCTGCCTCAGAGAGAAAGGCAAGCTATGAAGAATGAGGGAGATCACATCCTGACGGTCGGTAGGGGGTGAGGGGCCCTCTGTGGCCATTACCTCCCTGAAAATGGGGAGTTTGTTAGTCAGCCAATCTGGTTATGCCAGTGTTTTGTATCCTGGGAACAGGCTTTGCCCATTGTCCCCCAGGGACACTCCTGAAAGGGACACTGGGAAGGACTCCCTGTGGGCCTTGCCACCTTAGCAGCCTGCCTCCCATTGGACGGCTGGGATTGCCTGAAGGCTTACACAATCACAGACACCTTTTGCAAAGCTTGGGAGTTCCTTGTTGGTTTTGACAGTTTGTTTTGCAACACGACTCACATAGGACTCACGTGAACTCTGAGAGTTAGTAAACACCACCAAAAATTTTGCCCAGGCCCAATCGTTGAACCTTCTGTCTCATAGATCCAGGGCTGGAGCTCTCCTCATCCTCTTAAGCCTTGACATCTTTCTTGGCCTTGATGTTTGCTGGGGAGCTAGGGCTAGGTTCGTCTCCTCTGCTCTGCTGCCCCTGCTCCCAGGCTGTGCTTCAAGACAGAACTCATTGGATGAGTGACAGGCATGGGGTTTCTGGGAAGGGTCCTACAAGGATGGGGTTTCTAGGAAGCGCCACGGCAGCAGCAGGTCATGGAGTCTCCTAGCACTTCCTGTCAAAGTGCCCTGAGTAATAGGGCCCTCCCTGAACTGGAAGTGGGGCAACCTCTTACTCAACACCAGCTATGGGAAATGTTGTGCTAGAAATGCCACTGGGTTCTCCTCTCTTCTCAGGGTGCAACATAGAAAATGTCTGTTACCCGCTGGGCGTCTGTGCGGAGCGGACCGCCATCCAGAAGGCCATCTCAGAAGGGCACAGAGAGTTCAGGGCAATTGCTATCTCCAGGTAAGTGGAAGGAAGGGCAGGTTGCAGCTGTACTCATCCATCTAGTCTGCCAACACTCACCACACAAGTGTTATTCAGGCGTTCATTCATCCAACCCATGTATTCTGTACTTCCTATGTGCCAGGCACCATCGGGCTTGGCGGAGTGCTGAGGATAAAGAGACAAATCAGAAATGGACTCTGCCCTCAGGGAGCCCACAGAGCAGGCAAACAAGCAAGGCACCTCCAGCTCAAGGGCAGGTGTGCTTCTTGTTCTGATAACAACACAAACTACAACAGGATGCCTTGTAAGACACAATAGAAAGGCAGCATAGAAACCTAAAACTGGAGGGAACTAAAAGTCACCTGGTATAGATTCCCTGGCCACTGCCCCATTTTACAGATGAAGAAACTGAGGCCCAGAGAGGTTGAGCAACCTTCCTGGGAATTCATGGCCATGCTGGGACAAACCCAGATCTCCGGAGTCTCCCTCTGGGCTCATTCCACAACACCATGCTGTGCCAGGAAACCAAACACTCTTCCCTTCTGGAATCCCTCACTGGGAGAGGGGGCTACTATACTCGGCATCACCCACTTCTAAGTGCCAAGACCTAGGCTTCAAAGACAAGCTGGGGAGGGTGACAGCCAGGTAAACCTGGGTTAGGGTTCACACGAATCAGATTCCAGCCCAGGGCCTGGCTGAACAAATGTACCAGCTCTGTCTACATGCCCCAACATAAAAAGTGCAAATCCTCACAGGATGCTCATTGAGTTCTCATTGGCTCTGGACCCAGGCTCAGTGGCTTTAGGATTTGAGCAGGTAAATGGGCTCTTTTACCAATTTGGACCCTGTTACGCTTCTGGTTTAATGGCAGATTGCTCTTGTGTGTCCCTTTGTATTGTCTCAGAATTTCCTCTTATTATTATTTTTTTAAAGATTTTATTTATTTATTTATTTTTTTTAAGAGGGAGAGTGTGAGTCTGGGAAGGGCCAAGGGAGAGGGAGAGAGAATCTTGAGCAGATGCCCTGCCGAGCATGAAGCCCAACACGGGCTTGATCTCGAGACCCCGAGATCATGACCTGAGTTGAAATCAAGAGTCGGATGCTTAACCAACAGAGCCACCCAGGTGCCCCTGAGAGGGATTTTTCTTAGCAAATTAATGGTTCAGGCCACAGGAGAGTGACTGCGTGGCTGACCAAGCTTTGGTCTTTCGGGATGGGATGTCCGGGTGCAAGCAGCAGAACCTAGTGCTAGGCCCACGGGGGCTGGGTGATAGAAACAAGCCCCCATTTCTTTGTAAGATCCTAACCTTGGCCTCCATCTGGCCCCCAAGTGGACCAGGTTATTGAAGATTATTTTCCTGAGTGATTGGAGCCAAGGAGCGCCAACGGAGAAGGGCCCAGCTTCCCAGAGCCCTCCCCGTCACCACGGTGTGTCCTGGCCTCCCTTCAGCTTCGGGAGGAATAAATGAGGCCATGCTGAGAACATTTTGTGCCGATGAGCAGAGCTCAGGATGTGGAATACACTTAATTTACAAGCGGGGAGGTGGGAAATAACTCAAATACAAAGCTGATCCAAGAAAATAATGATATTCTGGGTGAAAAAGAGGCCAACGTCTACAAAAAGGATAATGGCACAGTAGCTTTGTTCTGTTTAGAATGTTCTAAACGAAAGGCTTTTTCTCCTGGTCATTATCTACTTTTAAAAAGGACTGGGTCTTGCTGGCGATGATTAGCAAATGTCCTTATTTACATAAAACCTGCATTTTTCTAGCACCCAACTGCTCTGCTCTAGGGATTCAGCAGTGCACCAGCATCCTTGAGCCAGAAATGCGGTCATTATTGAGCTAATGACTTGTTAAATTGGGAGCGTGGGTTTATAGGATGAGTGGAACGTGCCAGCTCCCTTGTTAACACTGATGGGTGTGAACGGTGTCGGAGAGCCCCTTTGAGATCTCCAGGATGCAGACTGTCGAGCCTAGGATGGGGTTCTGCTAACGGGGAGCTAAGCTTGTCCCATGGGGGCCCCAGTGAAGGCATCCAAGGCGATAGGTTTCCAGCCCGTCGCATCTGATGAGTCTGGCCCCAGCGTGTGACCAGAAGCAGCACAAAGCACAGAAGCTGTGGATCCAGCACAAGGCAGGAGAGGTAGGCGTCCTGCTGCACCCAGCGCGCTCTGGGATGCGTCTTCCTCCAAGCTTTTGATTCTCACTCTCAGCAGGAATGTTGAGTAATGGTTAAAAACCTTGGCTCCTGGGGTTAGTGAGACCTGGTTTCAGATCCCGCTCCACCGTTGCCCAAGGATCCGAGCTCAGCTTTTCATCTGTAGAGTGAAGGAGAGTAACACCTGCCCCCTGGGCTGTTGTGAGGGCACAGCAAGTGATTTTTGTAAAGGTCCTAGCACAGAGTATGCAACAAATTATTGTTTTAACCTTACTCTTATGATTTTTGTGAGCTGCAGAACTACCAAAGGCAGAGTCCACAGATCCTGGGTTCAAGGCCTGGTCCTGGCATTTACGAGCTCTGTGACCTTGGGCAAGTCATTTCATCTTTCTAAAAAATATATATATATAGTTTTTTTTTTATAGGTTTTTCACGACCTATAACATGAGGGTGATAAGAATACCTACATAGCCCCTACCTTATGGAGTTGTTAGGGGAGTAAATGAGTTCTTGTACCTGAGGTCCTCAGCACAGTGCCGGGCACAGAGAAGTGCATTATAAGGGTGAGCCAGTGTTGTTATCATGTAGTCTCTCAGCCTAACAGCTAGGGTGCCTGGGAGCAATTTCTTGTGACTTGAAGCCTAAGCCAAATCCAACTCCCCAGTGGAACGCATGCTCACCCCACCCCCTGGGAGACCCTAATGTGGGTCACCTTGTCCAGGGAACTGTCCTTTGGACAGTTGGCCATGCATGTCACAAGATTGAGAAGGGAAGTGGTGAGCTTGGCAGAGACCAGATTATACAGGGCCTTACAGGTCATGGAAGGTAGGTTGAATTTCACTCAGCACCTCTCCTATGGTCTTTTTTATTGTTGTTTTTTTGGTAAAGATTCATTTGTTTATTTTAGAGAGAGACAGAGTGGGGGGAAGGGCAGAGGGAGAGCACCTAAAGCAGACTACCCCCTGAGCATGGAGCCTGACATGGAGCTCCATCCCACGATTCTGAGATCATGACCTGAACTGAAATCAAGAGTCGGATGCTTAACCAAAGTGAGCCACCCAGGTGCCCCCATCCTCTCCCAGGGCCTTAACCTGTAGCCTTCCTGTGTTGGGGTACTAACATGCAGATTTTATGTCCCCTTGCAGACAGTAAGATCCCTGAAGGCAGGCATTCTCTGATTGGTCTTTGTTGCTCCTTTCCCATGACTGCCTAGCATGGTCAACATCTGTAGAAAAAAGTAAAAACACAGAATCCAGCCTCCGAGGAGCTTACGGAAGGCTCTGGCTGTAACACCTGTCGCCTGGTAATTCTAAGGGTTAATTTGGCTCAGTGTGCATCCTGGGCAGGGGTCCTCACTCTCTCATGCCGCCGTTGGCTTGTGTTCTGAGGCTGGGAGCATGCTCAGAGAAGACCCACCTTTCCGTGGAGCAGAACCTTTCTTTGGAATCCCACATATAAAAGGGAGTTATCATGAGGATTCAATAAAATAACACCATCACTGTCTCTCCCTTCAGCTGCTTTATGCAATTCATACCATCTGTGTCTGTCTCCACTTGATGCATTGTTAATTGGTTTGTTGTTGATTATCTGGCTCCTCTCACTAGTCAAAAACTCCTGAGTGCAATGAGTTGTGTCTGTTTTGCTCACTGCTGTATCCCCAGCACCGACAGTGCCTGGCATGATACGCCGCCAATAAATATTTATCAATTAAAATAAGATAATGCATTTAAATGCTTTGCAGGATGCCTGGAACCTTCTAGGCACATATTAAATACAATCATTGTCAAGATACATAAATGAACTTTATTATATATAAATTATATATGATAAATCTGTATATGATGAAGTATTAAAATTATGACCGAGCTTATATGTGTAAAGGAACAAGTGCCCAGTAGTATTGGCAATAGTGATAGCACAGAGCATTCTAAAGTGTACAAAGCCCTTTGTGCGTTTTATCTCATTTTATCTTCTAGCATTCCTACAAAGTAGGTGACATGATTCCCTACATTTTGCAGGCAAAGAAATGCACGTTGGATGGGTTAAAATGACTTGGTTAAAGGCACATATGATTAGCAAAAGGAGGAGCGGACCAAAACCCACAATTGAATCCCTGTGCTCTTACAGAGATTTCACAGAGCGGGGGGTCCAGAAGAGCAAGGATGTTGGCAGTAGCTGGCATAACCTCTCATGCTCCAGCAGGCTTGGCAGTTCCTACTGTTAAATTCACCTTCTTGAAGAGCCACCCTTTATCCTGCTCAAAGCTAGAGGACTGCCTGCAGTGCCTCCATTCTGAGAGGCAAACCCTTAGCTGTGTCTCCTGTCTAGACTTCTCCGATGCAGAGAGCCCATTTTTCTCTTTGACTCACAGGTCTTATTTTTTTTTTCAAGCCACAGGGCCCTTGCACATATCATTGCCTTTGCCTGCAGCACAGAAAACCACGAGGCTTCAGTCTAGCACCTCTGTTAGTTACTTCATTTCACTGAATTTGTTTTCTTGCACATAAATGGTCATTCTGACACTCAGGTTGCACTGAGAATTCAAAGAAATAATGTACATTGAGCGCTTGGTACAGATCTTGGCACCTAGTAGGTGCTCACTAATGGTGACTTATGGGCTCTACATTTCCTCCAAAGACCAGACCAAATGCCACCTCCTCCACAAAAATATTCCCTATTGTTCCTCAGTCAGAGATTGTCTCTTCTTACTGTACATTCCAAACACATTTTGTTTAGTTTTTAAAGATTTTTATTTATTTATTCATGAGAGACACACAGAGTGTGAGAGAGGCAGAGACACAGGCAGAGGGAGAAGCAGGCTCCATGCAGGGAGCCCGACATGGGACTCGATCCCAGGTCTCCAGGATCAGGCCCTGGGCTGAAGGTGGCGCCAAACCGCTGGGCCACCCAGGCTGCACAACACATTTTGTTTAAAATAAGAACTCATCAGGGGATCCCTGGGTGGCGCAGCGGTTTGGCGCTTGCCTTTGGCCCAGGGCGCGATCCTGGAGACCCGGGATCGAATCCCACGTCAGGCTCCCAGTGCATGGAGCCTGCTTCGGAGCCTGCTTCTCCCTCTGCCTGTGTCTCTGCCTCTCTCTCTCTCTCTCTCACTGTGTGACTATCATAAATAAATAAAAATTAAAAAAAAAAAAAAACTCATCTAGTTGCCTACTTGTCCACTGGGCTGAGCAAACTCCTAAAGGTAGAGACAAATTCCTCTTAACCTTTGTGTCCCTGGAGTGTGGGTAACAGTAAGTGCTCACTAAACATTTCCCAAATGCTCTGATGAAAGCAACATGCCATGGGGTGCCTGGGCGGCCCAATCTGTTAAGTGTCTGCCTTTGGCTCAGGTCATGATCCCAGGGTCCCTCATCAGGCTCCCTGCTCAGCGGGGAGCCTGCATCTCCCTCTCTCCCTGGTCCTCCCCCTACTCGTGCACTCTCTCTCATTCTCTCTAAAATAAATAAATAAATAAAATCTTTTTTAGAAAAAGAAAAGAGGAACACCTGAGTGGCTCAGTGGTTGAGCGTCTGCCTTCAGCTCAGAGCGTGATTCCAGGGTCCTGAGATCAAGTCCCGCACTGGGCTCCCTGCAGGGAGCCTGCTTCTCCCTCTGCCTGTGTCTCTGCCTCTCTCTCTGTGTCTCTCATGAATAAATAATTTTTTAAAAGAAAAACAACATGACTGCCCATGGCCTTGCCCCTTGGAAGTGTAAAAAGCCACCCTGTATTTCTTCTGAGCCTCCATGACACCATGTGTCTGTGAATTGGAAACTGTGTGTGTGGGCAGCCCCGGTGGCGCAGCAGTTTAGTGCCGCCTGCAGCCCGGGGTTTGATCCTGGGGACTCTGGATCAAGTCCCACATCAGGCTCTCCCTGCATGGAGCTTGCTTCTCCCTCTGCCTGTGCCTCTGCCTCTCTCTCTGTGTGTCTCTATGAATAAATAAATAAAATCATTTAAAAAAAAAAAAAGGAAACTGTGTGTGGAGGGGGTTGACTTCATCTGGAGCTGGGGAGGGACTCAGGGCTTGAATTTCAGCAGTTGTCCTCATGCCTCAGAAGAGACGGATCACCTTCAATTCTCTGTTTCCACAGTGACCTGCAAGATGACTTTATCTCACCGTGTGGGGCCTGCAGACAATTCATGAGAGAGGTAAGCATCTTGACTTTCTGGAAAGGTAAACCAGGTGCCTTCCTGCCTTCCCAGGCCTTGGGAGAAAAGCCAGGCTGCCAGCCAGGACACACAGCTAGTGTCCTGTGTGTCCTGTTGGCCCACATCTGAGCCTTCCCAAGCTGGCATGAATCACTGGAAATTATTCTTCCATACAACATCTTCTGGAGTGAGTATCTGTGTGTGCTGAGCACTGAGCTAGTGCAAGGGAGACAGCAGTGCAAAGACAGGCCAGACCTTGTCCTCCTCATAGGTCATAGACTAGCGCAAGAGACAGACGACCAAAAAGGAGCAAAATAGAGTTTCTGAGTAATGAGGGCTATGGAGAAAAGAATGCAGAGAAAGGAGTCAGAAGTCAACAAACATTGGCCCAGGGCAAATCCAGCCACACCCATTCCTTCACATTTTGCCGGTACCCACTTTGACCCTACAACAGCAGAGCCCAACCATTACAACAAAGTCCTTTGGTCTGCAGAGCCTAAAATATTTCCTGTCTGGCCCTTTACAGAAAAAAAGTTTGCTACCCGCTGCTAGATGGTCAGAAAGGGCTTGTCTTTTTTTTTTTTTTTTTTTAGATTTTATTTATTTATTCATGAGAGACAGAGAGAGAGGCAGAGACACAGGCAGAGAGAGAAGCAGCCTCCCTGCGGGGAACCCCATGCGGAACTCAATCCCAGGACCCCAGGATCATGACCTGAGCTGAAGGCAGATGCTCAACTGCCAAGCCACCAGGCACCCCTGGAGGGGGTCTGTCTTTGAGGATGGCATTGGAGCAGAGATATAAATAAAAAATGAGGCAGACAAAGGTCTAGAGAAGATTTCCAGCCAAAGGAACCAGCAAGTTTAATCCCCATAAACTTGGTGAGTTTGATTAAGTTGTAAGAGGGCCAAAGAGGCTAGAACACAGTGAGGGGGGGCGGGGGGGGTGGGAAATGATGGGACAGGGCCCTATAGGCCATGGGACAGAGGGTACACTGTAATCTAAGAACAAAGGGAACTGAATTGTACCCTTGAAAATGGTTAAAAGTGGGGGCACCTGGGTGGCTCAGTAGTTGAGCGTCTGCTGTTGGCTTAGGTCATGACCCCGGGGTCCTGGGATTGAGTTCTGCATCAGGCTTCCTGCAGGGAGCCTGCTTCTCCCTCTGCCTGTCTCTGCCTCTCTCTCAATCTGTGTCTCTCATGAATAAATAAATAAAATCCTTAAAAAAAAAAAAAGGTCAAAAATGGACTCAATGAGTTCTTAATCTGGACTCAGTGGAGGTTTTGTTTTAATTAGTAAATGTACATTTTGGGGAGGGGGGCATCAGTGGCTTTCACAGACTCTCAAAGCCATCTGTGTCCTCCAGAGTCCCCAAAAGATTAAAGCCACCAGCTTGGAGAACCCCACAGGCTCCTGAGCTTCGATGTGACATCATAATCCCTCCTGAACACAGTGTCTTACTTCATCCCCACCCCAGGCTACAGGCAAAGTGGGAGCCGTTACCCCCACTTCCCAGAGAAGTAAGATGACCTGCTGCAGGACATGCAGCCAGATGGTGGAGAGCTGGCATTCATGGCCAGTTCAGGCTTGACTGCAAGGCCCACGCTCCTCACGGCTGCCTCCCTGCCTTTGTGGTTCTGTAAACGAGACAGATTTTCTTCAGCCATTGGGGAGACATAATGGTGCTTTGCAGAACAGGAGCTGCTTGTTCCATGGAGGCTTCTGCTTTTGGAGTTGTTTAAATCCAGGGTGGGGGTGGGGGTAGGGGAACAGGTTGTTTCCTTTCCTTTGCTTTTGTGCCTTGGGGTTTCAAAGCATCTGCTGAACATGCAGACAGCTCCATTGTTTTTCTGCTTCTTGCCAGGCCTGCAAACCAGACAGGGTTAGCAGAACACATTTCCCCAATTCAGATGCAAATGTCACCATAAAGGCACTGAATTCACAATAGGGACCGCAGGGCACTTTAGAGGGGCAGAAAGGGCTGCCCTGCACCTTGTCATGTCCAAGGCCATATGAGGAATCCACGTCGGGGTTTCAGGGAGCCAGGGAGTTGGCACCCGAGGCCCTGGCTTGGTCCAATGGCTCATTGCTGTTTTCTCCAAACAGATTAGATGTTGGCAAACGAGAGGTGACTGAAAAAGCTGAAGGAGGGAGACGCAAAACCAAAACCAAAATGCAAATAACAAGACAAAGCTTGGGGGCAGGGGACCTGGCACTCAGACCCACCAGCACCAAGATTTCACCCATAGCCTCAGGCAGAGCCTGCCAAGCAGAAAAATCTCCTTCCTTAAAGCATTAATTTTTTTTTTCCTTAAAGCATTAATTAAAAAAAAAAAAAATCCAGGGATGGGTCGTACCCAGTAATAATGCAGTGGTTCAAACAAGTGTGGAAGAACAGCAGGCTGCAGGCCGGAGCGGTCACTAACCAGCAGAGAGGCCGTACGAATGGCTTCCCTCACCTGAGCACCTGCTACGTGCCAGGCACTGCGCACAGGTGCCTCCGTCCATCGTGATTCCCATGGGCAGAGCCCTGGTTTGCTGACTCCAGCCCCGGAGCTCCTCATGGCGCACACTTGCCTTCCTACCTGGCACCTTCTTCTGTTCTTTTTTTTTTTTTTTTCCTTCTTCTGTTCTTGAAGCCATTCCACACATCAAGACACTGAGCCCCAGGGGGTCGAATCATTTGCCCAAGATCAAACCGCAAGCAGGTGGTAGCTCCTGAAAGCGGAAGAGGATGGGGAGACAAATCTGGGCTAAGATTTCTTCTTTGTTGGCTTCACCCTCCTAAGCCTAAAATGGGGGTAATGGTAGCAGAGAGTGAAATCCTGCTTGGGCAATACCTGGAGGGTAGTGAGGCAGGTGTGCATCCGCTCATGCTTGGGAGGAGTAGAGGGGGTGCTGCAAGGAAGCTTGTTGCGGCAGGAGGTCTGGCCCTGGGGGTGGGGTCGATACTATTCCTCTAAAGCCCCAGGTGAGTCTCAGCACAGAGCAGAGCGCTGACTGCCCTTCACACATGCTGAGCACTGTGCTGTCGACAGGCGGCCTTTTGCTGGCTCTTTCCTTAAGCTCGCTGGTCCAGGTGTGATTCTTGTCATCCCCATTTTCCAGATGAGAATACTGAGGCACAGAAAGAACCATTAGACAGCTAGAGCCTCACCCCTCCATCACGCGGCCTCCCTCACACTGGCTTTGCTTCTTTTCCAGTTTGGCAGCAACTGGGTTGTCTACATGACCAAGCCGGATGGCACGTATGTTGTCAGTACAGTGCTGGAGCTGCTACCTGCCCCCTTCGGGTCCATAGGCTGGCAGAAGGTCCAGTGAAGGTTGGGAAACAGCCACAGCCTGGAAGAGCCTGGCTTTCCGTGCGTACTTAAGGGGACTGCTGCCCGGAGAACTCGACGAAGATGTTCTCACAGACCTGGAGACATCTGCCAAGCGGGCAGGGCTGGGCAGAGATGGCTCTTCCAGGTTACACAGTCAAGCACGGTGGTCTTCACTGAAGCGATAAAACTTTTCACTCTGGCCCGGGCCAGCATCCCTCCTTGCAACCCACCTTGTCCTTCCCGGGACAGGAGCACCTATCCCATCCTTTCCTTCCTTCGGGGCCCTCTTTAAAATTCCAGCAAGTCTGGACTGCTTCCCCGTCAGCCTTCTCAAGGTTCTATCCTGTTCTGGGCAACTTTTCTAATTATAGACATCACAGAACATCTGACTTGGGAGTGCGCATTTTACTCTGTCTCCATTGTTGTTCGCAAGTTTTAGGGCAATTGGGTGGGTTTGTCTTTATAGAAAGACCTGGGCACTCTCTGCTGGGGGAGAGGAGAACCATGTACCCTTTGGTGTGGAGAGCTGAGCTTTTAGGCTCCTTGCTCCTCCAGGTGGGAGGCCCCTCTGGGCTGGGCCACACTGCCAATGGCCATTTCTAGAGTTTGTTTGGGGCTCGGGGTAGACCAGAGCACCGGACGCTGTCCACGTCTCCATGGTTATATCTGAGAGATTGCAAAGTCTAAAGGGAAAAAAAAAAAAAAAAACAAAGTCTAAAGGGAAAAGCATGAGTTTGTCTAGACAGGATAGAAATGTATCTCTGAAGACTGTGTGCCAAGAACTTTCACATGGACTCTCGTTATTTAAAGTGCTCACCAACTCAAGGTATCTCCCCCTTCTTGCAGATGAGGGCACTGGACTTCAGAGACGTTGAGTGACTTGCTCTAGGACTATGGCAAAGCTCAGAGCCGAATCCAGGTCCCAAAGCTCCCACCATAGCCTAGAAATAGTGCATGATCTTTGCCTCGAGCTGTGCTGAGGCGTGTAACACATATGAAGCCATATGTGAATCCCCACTCATCAAGCTCAAGGTACCAGTGACTAAATCGAAGCTCAGAGAGGTAAAGTCACTTGCCCAAAGCCACACAGCTAATATGTGGCCGAGCTGGAATTTGAATCTGGTCTGTCCGATTCTAGGTGTTTTTTTCCATTCTCCCACAGCTGATGTTTGGCTGCCTTTGTATCTTTTACATGGCAAATAGTGCAAAGTGAAAGATGGATAAGAAATAGCCTCTGCCCTTGAAATAACTCACAATCTGACAGGAAGAGAGGTGTAAACAGGTCAAATGCACAGAAATATATATGGTGATCCAGGCAAGTACCAAGTGCAAGGTGGGTGCAGCAGAGGTGCCATGCTGCCTTCTAGGGTGTGAGGAGGGTCAGGGAGGGGACTATTTCATTGATGCATTGGTTATCAAACATTGTCTTTATGCCTCTGTCTCTCAGAGTCTCTCTCTCTCTCTCTCTCTCTCTCTCTCTCTCTCTCTCTCACACACACACACACACACACACACACACACAGAATGAGGAAGGGGAGGACTGAGTAAGGAAAGGAGACAGGCTGGCCCTCTAGAGGGGGCTGATGGCTCTGGGTGTCCTCCCTGGAAGCTGGCCTTGGGACCAGCCTCACTGGCTGGGGTAAGAATAGAGCATAGATTTCCGAGGAAAGAGGAAGGTTGCTGGGGACACAGGAAGTGGACAGGTAAGTCACCCCTTCCCTGTGAGTCCTTTCTACTCAGGTCCAGAGTGCATTGCAGGTGTTGCTGTCTGGCTTTTCCACCACACACCCAGACCTACCTGCCGCCGTCTTCGGAGGCAGGAAGGCGATCCCAGCATTGCTGCATGGCACAAAAGTCGACTCTGCCTTTCTTTAGAAAGGGTCATTGGGGTCTTCAGCACAGTCTTCTGAATATTCTCAGCCAAGCGAGATGAAGAAGGAAAAAAAGACAAAGTTGGAAGAAAATACACCAAGACGTTAACGTCTGTTAAAATTCTGGTCGATGGGAATCTTGATTTGTCATTTGTTTTCTCTGTACACATCTGAATTTTTTAAATTTCCAAAATGGTTTTAAAAATTTAATAAGAAAAAAAAAGGGAGAGCACAATGGGTTTCCACTTTGGAGCTGGACAGCCTCCAAACTGTGTGGCTTTGGGCAAGTTGTTCCATTGCTCTGAGACTCAATTTCCTCATCTATAAGACAAAATGATAGTGTTCACCCCATGGAATTGTTGTGCAGATGAATGAAATCATGAGTCCCATGGTGGGCCCTCAATAAGCTAGTTTGATAAAATCAGCCATTACTTTTATTAAAGGTGACAAATGTCGGTCCTTTGAGGATGGATTTGATTTTTACCAACAAGCTGATCTATCCATTCCTTTAGCAATCATTGATCAGATGCCCACTGTGTTCTAGGGCTGGAGCCAGGTCCTGGGGACGTGGCAGTTAATAAGACAGATAAAATCCTACCTGCATGGAGCTCTCAGCCTATCAGTGGGAAAATGAGATCTAAAGATTATAGTACTTCATGACCCAAGTGTCACCAAGGGGGAAGACAGCAATCTGGGAGCAGCAGGAGTGGAGCTTGCCTGAGGAGGCGAAGGCAGCGACAATAATGGGAACAGAACCTGGGGAGGAGCAAAGAACGAGGACTGCCTGAAGCGCTAAGCCCAGGGTTCCTATACTTTGTGGAAACAGACTGGGGAACTTAATCCTCAAGGATCCCAGAATTATTTGAACACTGTCACCCATTTGGTTAGAGAGAGGCTGGGATGTTTGTTTAAAATAAAAGGACTTTTAATTTCGTGTCCCCTGTTGTGAGGACCTATAATTTCAGAGCAGCACATGCTTGGTTATTCAGAGCTGTCTGTGTTTTTTAGGACTGTAAAGCAGAGTCCCAGATTCCCATGGAAAAAAATAGAAGCATGGATTTATTTCTGCTGCTTTTGCCAGCTGCTGCTAATTGCTTATGTAAAATACAAGATTCTTTAGGATTTCCTTTCAGCAGGGAGGAAAGCACAGCTATAATTGACAGGCACTAGGGGTACTTTGGGTGCCTATGTTAGAAACAAAGCTAGAAAGTGCTATTCAAGAATAAATAATGGAGGGGCACCTGGGTGCCTCAGTGGTTGAGCATCTGCCTTTGGCTCAGATTGTGATCCCGGGATCCTGGGATCCTGGGATCGAGTCCCCCATCAGGCTCCCTGCAGTGAGCCTGCTTCTCCCTCTGCCTGTGTCTCTGTGTGTCTCTCATGAATAAATAAATAAAATCTTTAATTTAAAAAATGGAATGGCCTGGTAGTTCTCTCGCACACACTTAATATTTTGTGCATGACTAGGAGCACAGAAAGAAGCACGGAAGGAACATCCAATCTGTTAACATTGTTTTTGAGGGGTAGAGTAGGGGGGATTTAAGGGAAGGGGATTAAAAACTCAATGACTGAGCAGAAAAAAATATGGCATAGTGACTACATTACCTATCTATTGCTGTGTAACAAATTATGCCAAAATGTAGCAGCTTAGGAAAACAAAGATTTATTATTTCACAGTTTCTGCAGGCCAGGACTCTGGGCAGAGCTGGATTATCTGGTTTAAGGTCTCCTATAAGCCTGCAGTTAAGATGTCAGCTGGGGGGCAGCCCCCGTGGCTCAGTGGTTTAGCACTGCAGCCCAGGGCGTGATCCTGGAGACGCTGGATCGAGTCCCACGTCAGGCTCTCTGTATGATGCCTGCTTCTCCCTCCGACTCTCTCTCTCTCTCTCTCTCTCTCTTTCTCTCTCTGTCTCTATGAATAAATAAAAATAAAAATCTAAAAAAAAAAAAAAAAAGATGTCAGCTGGGGCTGTGGTCTTACTTGAGGGCTTGACCAGGAAACGATACACTTCAAAGCACACTCACATGGTGTTGGCAGGATCCAGTTCCAGTGGGCTGTTGCTGTTACTACTCCTTGCTTCATGGGCTTCTCTGCAGGGCAGCTTACAACACAGCAGCTGGCTTTCCCCAGAAGAAACAAGGAAGAGAGCAGGAAAGAGTGAGCAAGACAGAAGTCAGAGTCTTTTTTGTAACCCAACCATGAAGCCAATATCCAATGATTTCTGCCAAATTCTATTCCTTAGGCGACTAAGGTCTAGTCCACAGTCGAGGGGAGGGGACTACACAAAGGCCCGGTCACTCTAATGATGTAGAAATAGAAGTAGCATGAGGAGAAAGAAAAGAAAAAAATAAATAAAACAAGAATGGCTGGAGGGTCAGAGGAAGCAGGCCTGGCCCAGGAAAGGGGTTGACCTAATTGTGAAGGGCAGCCATCAGTTTCAGGCAAGGGGTGTGATTTGGTCAGCTTTGTGCTTTAAACAGCTCAGTCTTCCAAATCGGGAGATACTAGAGAGCTGAAGGAAACTAGGAGAAATCCTAAAGGAGTGAACTATCATTACCTCTGGGCTTATAGGGAACTGGAACAGAATATTGTTGTTTTTCATGATGAGGCCATCCATATGTACCAGTAGTGTTTTCTTGAACCATATACTCATATTACTTTTATTTAAAAGACTTTAAGGGGCACCTGGATGGCTCAGTCAGTTGAGCATCTGCCTTCTGCTCAGGTTGTGATCTTGGGGTCCTGGGTTGGGCTCCTTCCTTGGTGGGGAGCCTGCTTCTTCTCCCTCTGCCACTCCCCCTGCTTGCGCTCTCACTTTCTCTCTCAAATAAATAAACAAATAAAATTAAAGACTTTTTAATTAAAAAAAAAAACACAGAGACTATAGTCAAGTCATAGAAAAGAAATTCAGTTAGCAATCATGTGGCATAAATGCTACAGAGCTATTGCAATAGTTGGTCCTGCTGGGGGAGAGGGTGAACTATTTGACATTCTGAACCTTTAGGCTCCTCCCCACCTCTACCCTTCTTCCCAAGAGGGGAAAGAGTCTTGTAACTTATGGGAGGAGTGAGTCTTGTAACTCAGAATTTAGAAGGATAGCCCAGCCCCTTCTCCTTCTCCTCCCCCTTGGGAGCGAGGCTGCCCACGGAGGGCTTGTGTTCCCAGATGGCTCTCAGGCAAGGGCTAGAGATCCAGCAGGCCCCATGCTGGGTGCTGGGGACCTAAGGTTTCAAAATCACAATCCATGTCCTAACAGAACTAACTGTAGAGAAGGAGACAGAGAGCAAGCATCCAGCCCAGTCTAGAAAAGGTCAAAGAAGTCTTCCCAGACTAGATGATCTTTTTTTTTTTTTTTAAGAGTTTATTTATTTATTCATGAGAGATACAAAGAGAGAGGCAGAGACACAGTCCAAGGGAGAAGCAGGCTCCATGCAGGGAGCCCGATGTGGGACTCAATCCCAGGACTCTGGGATCACGCCCTGAGCCAAAGGCAGACGCTCAACCGCTGAGCCACCCA